TTATGATATGTTAACACCTAAAGTGTTCAACACCACTAATGCCAACAACAATTTTTTAATGACTCAAATATCCGAACTTCGCCCAACTAATCCCAAAAAATGGCAGCCTTTCCCCCGATTTGCCACCCGGGTAATGCTAAACAATACAACATTATTCCTACATATGGTGGTGCAGGCACCTGGGTCATGAGTGGCCATTGATCCCACGAAATTTTAGAATTTCTTTTTGTTTTTTCCTCAAAGTTAAATTTTTTTTTTTCATGTTCCATATTTGTACAAATTTGCAGTTCATTGGTAATTTATCTCCAATATCTTAGATTTATCAATTTCATCTAATTCTAACGCATGTCACTGTCAAAGCCCGCCCTAAGTTTTTGGAAACCCTAGACAAATAATTATAAAGAAAAAGCTCCATGCATAGGCCTTTTTGCACAGGCCTGTACATGGGCTCTCAAATGGCACATGGGGTCCACCCCCATGTGTGTGCACCTGTACAAGCTATGGGCAAAAGAGCCTGTGCAAGTAGCATTTCCTTAATTATAATGAGGCCTTTAAAAAAAAAAATTACTAGCATAAAAGGGTAGATAAAAATTATAATGAAAATTTAAAGACATAATTGCTATATAGGCCATAAATTATGAACCAAGGGATCAATTTTTTATTATTTATCTTTTACTCCTAGAACTTTTTCTCTCTTTCTTCATTTGGCGGTATTTCTTTCAATCGTGCTTCTCAAACAAGGAAATTTGATAGGAAATGGTGACAGACAACACTTGGCATTTATTCATTAGAAGATGAAAAATTTAAAAGTAAAAAATAGGTTAATCACAGTTCGCTACGTTAGCTCTATCAATATTTCCCTATTCGAATAGCTTAATTCATTTCCTTTACCTTTCTCTCCACAATCTTTTGCTCTATTAGTAAGTTTCACTCTCTATTTCCTTCCCTACCAAGTAAAATTCCATTTTCATTTTCATTTTCATTTCCACCCTTTTTATTTAATTGATTATCTCAGTCTAATTATTTTTGCTACTATAATGAGGGAAAATGATTAAATGATATTCCATTTGGAATTGACGAATGAAGCTTAGAAAAATTAGTTGTGAGGTATTAATTTTCCACTTTTGGAGAAGCATCATAGGAGTTCGTCAACATGACCATATATTATTGGCTGTTTTAAGATCTGTATGAAATTTAGAATTTCTGCTTTGAAAGTGGTGAAGAAAATGCTTTTTCTTTTTCACCTCCATTTTTTTTACTTTGCTTTTGTTGTAATTTTTTTGTGTTAATACATTTATTATTGTTTTTTCATTTTGTCTTGGGTCATTGATTGCTCCATCTAACACCATGAGAGTTTATTATTATTATTAATTTTTTTTTTTGAGGCCCCCTTTAAGATTGGAGGCCCAGGGCCATTGACTTAGTGACTTTGTACCAGGGCCGAGTCTGTCACTGCTCAGTTAATCATCATTGTTCACTAGAACATCTCTGTTCTCATCTCAAGTCTCAACCCACAAATTCTGTAGATATTAAGCTTATTTTGTTTCAAAAAAGAATTTTGCAATTTTATTCCCTCCCCTCCCCCCGCCCCCCAACTGAAAAAATCTAATCTTGATAAGACCTACTTACCGTTAAGGATATAATCCCTTATCGAATAAATATCAAACAATTAAATAATATAAAAAAGTTTGCACTACTCCTTTGAACAAGTTCACTTTTTAAGTTTTAACTTAAAATCCAAATAGCATCTCCAATGTTGTTGTGGATTGTTGAAAAAAAAAAAAAGTTCATATTTTAAAACTTATTCGGACTTCTGAACTTGATGAATTATGATTAATTGAGGGAATCAAACAAGTTCTTTTTCTAGACTAAAATACATAAAAAAAAATATTTATATAGATACGGGAATATATAAATTAGATTACAGTTTTTAAGTGTATAAATATCTTGATATTCACTTGTAGAATTAATAAATATTGAAATAGAAAATATCTTTTAAGTTTCAACATCACAAGATAACAAATAATACTATATTAACTCCTATATAATAAATTTTAAAATTTATCTCAATAAAATATAACAAGAATACTAATGAATATGATAATAAACTATAAATAACAATAGTTGTAGCATAATTATGAATATAATTATGTAAGCATATTTATATATAAGTTATAATTTTAATTTTAAATTAAATATTAATAAAACAAAAAATTGAATATTGGCAACGAATAAGGTCAAGCTGTTACATGAGCAATTTTCACGAGCCGACCCGTGTGGCTCGTTAAGGGCTAGCCCAAGCTCAAGCCAAGTCTCCAAATTTGGGCTTGGCCTAAGTTAAGTCAGCTCGAACTTTTTTTCAAATAGAGTTGTGGGCTGCTCGAGCCGATGGGGTCATTTGCCATCCCTAATTGAAGATCATACAGATTGCATGAAGTCAATGTGAAGCATAAATAGAGTAACCGAAGAAAATTGACAAGTTTCGAGAGTGAAATGCAACATTTAAAAGTTTGAGTACTTAACTGATAAATTTTGAAACTTACATCAGATCAATTACAGATAATTGTGAAATGAGGACTAAATTGTAGAGATTTAAAAATGAATGACCCATGGTGCAAGTATGAAAGAAATCAAGGATCAAGTTAAAAAAGAAGCGAAGTTTTGTAGCGAAAGCTTATAGAAAATAAACAAAATAGTGAAACTCAAACTTTTTAATTCACACACGAGTGCCAAGAAATAGAGAAAATTGAAAAAAAAAATTATCAAAATTTTTATTATAATCAAGTTCAATTAACTGTCACTAAGGCTTGCAACCCGTATTTAAAGCAATAACTAAAATTTGGATAATTACTAAATTCTTAATAATGATTAACTTTAATTATGGAAATTAAAGATAATGATGAAAATTAAAATCCCTAATATTTAGAATTAATCCGCAATAAATGGAATAAATTTGAAATTATTAAATAAAACAAAATTACCTAAAAAATCGAAAAATGTATTTTTAAGTACTAAATGATGACATTTGGCTGAAAGAGGGTGAACATTTGAGTTTTACTTATTGGACAGCTTCTAAAGTCACGTGCTTTATCCATTGATTGAGTTTCATAATCGCTTCCTAACAAAATAACTAGTTAGTTAGGTTAGTTAAATGATTTATTACCAACTGTAAATCATCAATCTCTAGTTAATTTTGTAACTCAATTAGAGTTAGTGGTAATTGAAACTAATTGGATACTTAGTTTTAGTGAGATCGATACTTGGACTCATGTTCACTGAATTACTTGTCACGATGCCATCCACTTGAAGGATTTTAGCTTAAATTGTACCACATCTCTAAAGTGGGCATTTTTAAAAAATTTCTTTTTAATACACGACAAGATGGACGATGTCAAGATGATGTGGCATGAAGTCAAGTAGACAATGAAAACGTGTCTTTCTCTACAATCTTTAGAAGTTTGGCCTCACCACAACTTATTAATCGGAGACAAAAATTAAAAAATAAAAATTGACAAAAGACAAGAGGTATGCCATTTAGAACAACTAGTATTACGACACCATGCCAGATAAAATCGAGTGACAGTAAATAAGAGATACAAATGACTCATCTAATTCTACATTTAATTGAACATACCACTTAGTGTCACATAGACTGATGTTGTATCAGTCCAGTAGTGTTAAATATCATTATTCGAATTTTTTTTTTTTCTCTTCTAATCGAGAGAGAGGGAGTATCATTTATATCCAGCTAGACAAAAGAATCGGACCATAGAAAAACCACTTGAGAACCAATTTTGAACTTCGAATGAACTGAAAATAAGATTTTGATTATGAGAATAATGAATAGGTAGCTACGCTACACTACACAACACATTGAGGCAGGCAGAAAAAGAGAGAAAGTTGGTAGTTGTCAGGATAGACAGGGAAAAGAGTTCAGATTAGATTCCATATTCGAAAAATACCAATTACATGTGTCGGACCTTTGTAACACTGACCCAAATATCCAACCTACGGTTCCCATTCCCTTCTCGTGAATATATTCTCTATTCTGCACCACCAATACCAATACTTTCTCTTTTAAACAAAAGCACCGTTTTGGTCCCAATTTTTAATTTTTTTAAAAAAATTCATTTTCAAACACGAACATGTATTTATTAACTTTTTAATCTCAATTTTCGTTACCTTATATCAAAATCTATTTAAATTTTGATTTTTAGTTGAACCAAGTAGGGGCTTTAAAATTCTTTCAATTAATTGCCCTCGATGTTCATCTCTAGCCTGCACAACCTCTTTCCATTTCAAGAAGGAACGTGCTATATGTAACTAGGCACGCGTTGACAAGCCCGGTTAAACGCCCCTCACAGCAGGAGGGCCCACACATTTTTTTATTCGGAATGGACCCCCCTTTTTGTGAGGGACGTATCAATGCCCTTGTACAAATAGCAAAATCATTTCGAGAAATTTCACATTCTGAATTGTTTTATAATATTTCAATATTTAAGCCTTCGTTTGATAGCAATTCTTCAATCCAGAAAATCAATTTGTTGATCGTTACTTCATGATTTCAGTCATTCTTCACTCACAGGTAGGATTCACTTTTCTCTCCAACAGTCAAAAAATCAATTTTATAATCACTACTGAACAGACCTTAATAAATAAAATAAAATATAAATATTTTATTTGAAAAATTAAATTAGGTGCATAAATAAGTTATTTTTTTGTTAGTTTACTCCACTTGGTTTGTGTTTCAGAAAAAGCAGGTGGTGTTGAAGAAAACCCCGGCATTCTTTTCGTTTTTACCGTTTCTCACCAACATAATTATGTTATCAGATCTCAAATCTACCCTCCCAAATTCCAATTCATTCTCCTAATTTTCCTCAGAAATTTTAATTTAAAAAACAGATTAGAATGTCTGGAGTCACGTGACTCACATGCGCGTGACCTGGGTCATCGTTGAAAGATTCTCACGCGCGATAAAAACTCATCTTGACCCAAAAATCCCACCTTTCTTATTCCATTCTTACCCTACTTTTTTTATCTTAAACTCTCTCTATCTCCATTTTTGAATGCATATAATTTAAGTAAGTTAATTTAAGTTAGTGGATGTAGAAATGGCAGCTCCAAATATGGCTGCAATAACTGCATCCTTAGAGAAATCTCTTCAAAACTGTTCTCTAAGCCACCAAGAAAGCAGCACCCCTGGCGGCGGCGGCGGGGTGGTTGATGGAGCGGGGCTTGGCCACTCAGCCACTTCAACTTCACCGGAAAATCATCATTTGGATGCCGCTTTAGAACTCAATTCCCAAATCACACTCCCTTTCCATTGGGAACAATGCCTAGATTTGAAGGTAAACCAGTATAGACACTTTCACCCAGATCTTTGCTCTTTGTTCATTAATCTCCACATCTAGCAAACGATGGCTTCCACTGGCCAAACCCTAAAAAGGGCATCAACTGTTCTTCTATTTACCTTTTCCATTTTCTTCAAAAAAAGCAATGGAAACGGAAAACCCTTAAAAATTTTAGCCTTTTAGGGTACTTTTATTGCAATTTTGATTGATTTTTTGGGTTTCTTTTCGTTCTTTATGTTTCTTGATTCTATGCATTACAGACTGGTGAAATATACTACATAAATTGGAGAACGGGAATGAGAGTGACCGAGGATCCGAGGACCACCGTCGAGTGCCATGGGGATTTATACTCTGAAGACGATTGCAGCTCGTATGACAGTGAGGAATCATCATCCGAGCCTTCACATTCATCAAAACGGAATCATAATCAAGATTATAATGATCATCAAAGCAATGAACAAGAGAATCTGAATGTGCTTGTCGTGGCTGGGTGCAAACGGTGTTTAATGTACCACATGGTTCCTAAACAGCTCCAAGATTGCCCCAAATGTTGCGGTCAACTTATCTACTTCGATCGATCCGAAAATGGCTCTCCATAAATCATTTTTAATTATCCTTCCTTTTCTGACATGTTTGATAACATGGATTAGACATTACTCGATAGTTTGTTCATCGAACTATCGAGTGGAGTCTAATATTGTACACGAACATGCTTTTATGTTTGCGCTTTTCTCTTATTTTTTTTGAATGGAGTGTTAAGAATGTGGATTTGGATGTAGAACCAGACCAAAGGGCTACTATTCTTATTGCTAAATTTAAGATTATGTTAAGATTTTGTGGTGTCTCGATATTTTTCACTTGTTTTTAATTTCTGTAAAAGAGGCATAGGTGTAAGTGTCAACCACTTCAAGAATGATATGTGTAATGATTGGAAAGTGTTGTTTTCATTCATTCAGTTACAAATTAAGATTGGAATGTTAAGATCAAAGAATGATCAAGCTTCCCATAATGCCAAATATAATTTGGATTTTTATGAATTTCCTCATTTCATAGCACAAAAAGGCAACATTATCATCTCTCAAGTCGTCATGTGTTTCAAATAGTACCTAGTCGAGAAGACTAATCAGACCTCAACACTCAAGTTATAGCCACGATCAAGAGGATATCGTCATCTATGGCATGGCAAAGTCGAGAAGCTCACTAGCCCAACTTCACACACAATTCACAACCTAACTATAATATAATCATTCATAGAAAATAAACTCCTTTGTCACAAAAAGTTGTCAAAATTTCAACTTACAAATCTTTCTCATACCTAAAAGCTAGATTCTCAATCACCTACAAATTATAGTACCAAATATTCATTTCTCACTACTAAACATGACATTAAGGTACAAGGCTAAGCATATATAGCACTAAAATTTAAACACAAATGTTCTTGTAACAAAACAAAGTTTTATTTATTGTGTAGTAAAAAAATTACTTATTTTTCTCCAAAAGAAGTTGGCCTTCTGTTTTCCATTTTGTTTTTTCTGTCTATAATGGCTATCTGGAGAGTTAAAGGCATGGCCATTCTTCCTAAAAGATTCGTTTTTCAGGGTAAGTACATGTATAGAGGGAATCAGAATATTGGTCCACACAAGAGTTGTAAAGAAAGGTGGGGGAAACCTTGCTCTAGTCCAGACTTATATTGAGATAGAGATAGAGATAGAGATAGATGAAGGTAAGGTGGAGCGGGGTGGGTGATATAGACCACTCTATACTATCCTTGTTGTGTTCGTTGTCTCCTCCAAGAATAGATATATAGAGAAAGGTCGATATCAAAGTTCATGCCTTAATCTTTATATATCTATATGTTGGAGCCGAAAACGAGTTAACAAAAACACTTAGACGTATTTATGTGCGATAAATTAGAACTGTCTGTCTTTAAGATCAATCCTATATGGGATTCTTGTAATAATTATTGACGTGTTTTACAATTATTTTTCAAGATTTATGTTCACAAGTTTTGTTAGTCAAAGATAAAAGGATGTGATAGTTGAAGGGAAACAATAAAGGGTCCAAAAGTTATGTGTAAAGCTTTAACCAAATCGTCGGTCCAATTGTTCTCAGTACTAATATCTCTCTGTGCGTTGTTTCTTTTTCCATGCTTTTGTTTCCATCTTAGCAATTCGAATCTTTGTAAACAGTACCGAACACACTGTCCCGACAACCCTTTTACTCTAAAATATATTATTTAATGTGTGAAAATAAACATACCAAATTCATAATTGAGCCCGGGTTGAATTAGCTAAATATCAAATTTTTAGTAAATTTTTATGAAAGTTGATGAAACGTATGATTGAGTAGTTGATAAATGTTATCGATACGATTAAAAATGAGTTCTGCAAAATAGAAGCCAAAAGGCGATTAAGATGATAAAAACTATAGATTTTTTACGTGTGTACGTGCCATAAGCTCATGTCAAAAATGTAAAAATTGCATAACAGACCAAGTGATTCAGCAATGAAGTTAATTCTCGTAGGATGCACTACTAGTCGGATGCAAACATTGTATTATAAATGACGGGATATCGAGATATGATAAATTATTAACTCTAATAGATGTCTACAACTCCACAATTGTAAGAGGAAGACTCCTCAATTGATGAAGACAAAATGGATAGATGAAGATGCACTACAACTCGCTTAGGACATCTCCAAGAGTACACCAATTTGGTGTAAAAATCTACTTCAAGGGTACACTAAATTACCATACCAATTTGGTCTAATGAAGTTTTTCATTATTTTCGTTTTGCCTTTCATCATATATTACAACGAATTGTAATTCCCTCTCTATCTTTTATCTATCCTTTTAGTATTTAATGATTTGAATATATTTTATTATAAATATTATTTTTAATAACATTTATTTGTAAATTTTAATCAAATAATAAGTAATGAATACATTAAGTTAAAAGTGCTCATTAAAACTCAAAAGTTACAAATTTGATAATTATAAAAATCCAGATGTTGAGATGGTTGAAGATGAAAATACTCGATTTCAATAAGTTTTTGCTTGGCATAGACAAGTCAAGGATTAAGATGTGCATATTTTACTTCAAAATGCATTAATTGATTATTTATGGAATGAATATACTAACTTTTTTTCTGCACGTAGCTTAATTTCTTTAGTTGTGGTATTCAATTATATGCTTTTTCTTAAATTATTAATAAGTACAATATTTTTGTTCGTTAAATGTAACTTTTAATTTATTAATTTTAGTAAAAATATAGTTTATAATTAAATAATTTATGAAAGAAATTAATTGCTGCTTAATATATAATATGAAAATAAAGAAAATATTATTCATTTGGTGTAACAATCGAAGATGTAACCTCAAATTGGTGTGAAAATTGCAACTATTTGTTTCCCCAAATTGGTGCAAACTATATGAGATGGACTCTTATTATTCTTATTCTCCTTATTATTTATTATAAATTTTATTTATTAGTCATTAGCGGGTGTATTCTAATAATTTTTATGAGTTCAAGATTTGGGTGTAATTTCAATTTAAGTTGCAATAAAATTTTAGTGTATAAGAGCAGCAGCGAGAACCAAGCCCTTTTTTATCGGCTTTGTTAAAAAATATATATAATAATAATAATAATAATAATAATAATAATAATAATAATAATAATATTCGTCTCTTATTTCTCGCTTCCACTCTCCCACCTAACACTTCCATCTAATCAACCTTAATCCATATATAGGCCACTATACCTTGGACAAGAGTCAGAAAATATCCGGCAGTATGGGTTGGACTTAGGGCCCAAGCCTAAATGTTTTTATAAATTAAGGGAAGGGTTCCTTAGCTATTAAAAATATTTTAATTGGAAAATGTTAGAAATTCAAAATTACATAGGTTTCGCTTAATATTTTTAACAGATTTACTGAATTATTAGGGTGTGTAACATACATAAATTACTCACTTTGTTTATTTTAAAACTATAATCCCACAAATTACTTCGATTTTAACTTTCAAATCCATAGTGTCAAACGATAATTGTTGAATTTACATACTGGGGTGTCAAGATGGATAGACATTCAAATTATAATCACATTTAAAAATGATATCACAAATTATTGTTGAATTTTGAATTCAGAATAGCAAGTTCATAATTGTTGAAGTTTTCCGAAATCGATCATCGTTGAAACACATTCATACCACGATTCCTATAGTCACATTCAGATATTGCATACATAATACCGTTGAAGACATTTTGAGTCAACAAGCCAAATTTTTGTTAGCATTGACGTGTCGTGCATAATTTAAAAAATAAAAAAATAAAGACTTGACATAAAGTTGACAAGAAGACAATCAGTGTGTGGTTTTCCCAAAAACGAATGGACAAATGTCAAAAACAAGACAAAATGGGAAAAATGTGATAAACTAAACTGTCGAATTGAGATGGAGATCAATGGTTCTTAATTGTTAGAATTAATTCAGATTACTTTTTCTCTCTATACTTTTCCTTCCCTTCTCTTTTTTCATGGTGACAGTATTCTTTGTGCTGTAGTTGTGAGATATTTTCTCTCTTATGTGAGGTTTTTCTTTTCTTTCTTTATGTATGAGTGGGTTAATGAAACTCTTGATGATAACTCGTCATTATCATAGATGATAGATGTCGTGCTTTCAATTTCATCATTTTCGAACTAAAATCACATCCAAATAACCACTATTTTGAAACCCTAATCAATAATTATTTCAATTCGGGTAAATATATTTACACTATTGTAAATAATATGATTATTAGAATGACAGTTATAGTCATGTAGTCATAATTTTTGTTACCATTGTATCCTTACTTTTTTCCTATAAATATAAAGTTTTGGTTCTAAATATAATACACATAAGTCTATTGACTTCTCTAGCTTCTTCTCTTTTACTATTTTTTTATAATACGTTATCAGCAAAAAGTTCTAATCAATTGAGTTAGCATAATTTATTTATCTTTCTTGCTTTCAAATCTTTAACCAGTTGAGTTAGAATTTTTTTTTCCTTCAATCGAAGAAAGACAAAAAATTCGAGCCAATTGAATTTAAAAGCAATTATTTTAACCTGCTCAAAGAAAATGTTATAATTATATTAACTTTAAATTGTACAACAAAGAAGTATAGTTATTTGATTTGATTATATTGATTTGACTTTATGATAAATAAATATTTACATGAACGTAATTTATTTCGTTCAATATTCCAGTAATATTTTATATTATTCTTGAAATGAAATAATATGAATCAATATTCCAGTAAAATATTTTAGCATTCCTTAAAAGTGAATATTACATTCATATTATTTGTTACTTTTGAAGAAACACAAATTTATAGATACGATATTTAAAGTAATATTGTATTATTACTCTTTAAAAAATATAATATTTTTTCATACATATTCTTGAACGGTATTTGTTTCTAATTGTGCTTTTCTGGAAAACATGATTTATAATTCTATTAATATTCCTGAAAAATATTATGAAGATTTTGAAAAAAAAGAAAAAATTATATCATGCTAATATTAAAGTGAAATATTATTTGTCCCAAAAGGACATGACATTACAATATCAATATTCTAGAGGACTTGACATATTGTTCTAGAAGAAGCATACTTTTATATTATATTAATTAATATACTAGAAGAATAATCAATTGTTGCTCTGAAACGAAACGCAATAATAATACTTAAACATTCCAAAAAACAATTGCTAAATCATTAAATCAACTTATAAAAATCTATATTCTAAAATAATATTGTGTTGATTTGGAAGGAGCATGACTCTATAATTTTTAATATTTTTGAAAA